ACTCCATTCTCTCCATCTGTCCTTAAAAGCCCCACTCAGCAGTTTGTGCTGTAGCACCATGCTGCAGCATCCCTGCACTTGAACTTGGGAATAGGCTTTCCAGGACTGCAGGCAGAGCCCTTACCGCATTCCTTCTGAACCTCATCTTGCCTCTCGGGGGATTTGCTTCTGCCATCTCGCCTATACACAATTACACTCTTCTTTTCCGATTGTCAACGCAACATTGATGAAATACGGGCTGCTTCTTGGGTGGTATTTAAAACCAGCAGCCAAAAATCTCTATCAAACAAAGCTACGGCTGCTTCCATTACCACCGCGGCAGAGCTGCAAAAAAATCCACTATCCCTGATTAGTCAGCTGACAGATCCTTCCCTGCTGCTCATTGTAATTCAGAGTTGACACAGTCCCCCAACTACTTAGCCTGATTGAACCTTGTGGATTAGCTTGTGCTGGACTATTCAAGAAGATCAGGCATGTCCTAAGAGTGGAGGGAGAAAAGAAAAACACTCTCCTCCTTAGGCTGGATGGGACTGGCTTGCCTCTGCGTAGTTAGATTTTTTTTAAGGTGGAATGCTAAGATTCTTTGTGAAGGTAGTACTCACTGATACTTTGTCCTGTCCTGCTCTGACACTTAAACTTCAATTCTATATTGTTTTACTACATTCTATCCTGGGTTTAAGTGTTGAGAAAGTTACAGTTTATGAAGTTGTAGCCTGGTAATCTTGAAAGAACAGAAGATGCATACAAAGTTTTCAAGATGGAGAAGATTCTCCCTACAATTAACCTTCCCCCCAGATAGCCAAAGACAGCATTTTGAATGTTCTTACCACAAAGAAATGATGTTTAGTGTGATAGACATATCACTATACAACATATATGTGTGTGTGAAAACATCACATTTTGCCTCATTAGTGAATACAATTATTTTCCTTTTGTTTTTGAGACAGGTTTTCTGTGTGAAGCCCTGTCAGTCCTGGAACTCGCTCTGTAAACCAGGTTGTAAATGAACTCAGAGATCTGCCTGCCTGTCTCGCAAGTACTGGATGTTGATGGGAGATGTCATTCTGTAAATATGTTTCTCTTACTGGTTAATGAATAAAGCACTGTTGGCTAATAGGAAAGCAAGAGAGGAGGGACTAGGAGACAAGGAGGAAAGAGGAAGTAGTTAGGAGGAGTCAGGATGGAGAGTCTAGAAAGAGCAGGATGCCAGCCGGCTCTCTGGTAAAATGAGGCCACATAGAAATACATAGATTAACAGAAATGGGTTAATACTTAAGACAGAGCTAGCTGATAAGAAACTAGTACCTGGCCACCAGCGTTATATCAAATACAAAGTCTCAGTGTGTTAATTGGGGCTGGCGTGGCGGTGGGACAAGACAAGCAGCAGGACGAAAAACCTACTCCTTACAGGATGTAAAGGCTTGCACCACCCGGTGTGGCCACAATTTTTTTCAATATTTATTTTATCCTATGCATGTATGTGTGACCCTGAGTATATGTCTATGTGCCACATTCAAGAGTTCACAGAGGTTAGGAAAGAGGTCAAATCCTCTGGAACTGGAGTTACAGATGTTTGTGAGACACCATGTGAATGCTGAGAACTGAACCTGGGACCTCTGCAGGAACAGCAAGTACTCTTTACTGCTCAGCCATCTCTCCAACCTCATATGTACAAATATTATGTATCAACTGCAAAAATTTCAAATTCTTCTCTCATAATTATGAAACCTAACTTGCCTACTTTCATTTATTTGGGAAGCTGTAATTTAAGGTCTTCAAATTGAACTATATAGTCATCTTACTAAAAGTAATAGACCACATGGGATTTTAACTCAGTGGTAGCACATATGTAGCTCTAGTTTCTATCCCCAGGACCAGAAGAAAAATGGCAAATGATAAAGTAATAGGCTACAAAAATCCCTGTTACACAATGGTTATCTTCACCAGGATATCTTACAAAATGTTAACTTTACCTTATGAAATCAACTGGCATTCAATAGTCATTTTTTTAATACATGTAGTTTTTTTTTCAGACACTATATTCTGATCAAAGTTCAATACTCATCTTTATTCCATCAATAGTCATCTTTACTTCAAATGGTGTTGGTGTCTGGTAGCTATTGATAGTTGAGATAGTATCTAATGTGAGCTTGGGCATGAGTGTATAAACTATATCAACTGCAGAAACATTTAAAGAGATGGCTCAGTGCTTAGGAGCACTGACTTCTCTACTGAAGACCCAAGCAAGAATACTTGCACCCAAGCCAGATAGATGGTCCACAAACACAACCACAACCACAACTCCAGTTCTAAGGGATCCAGCACCTTCTTTTGGACTCCTTGAACACCAGCACTCACATATTCAATACATACATAATTAAAAATGAAGTAAATCTTTATAAAGAAATAAGATAAATTGTGAAAAAGAATCATCTAACCAACTGCATCTCCAGAACAATCTGTTCTGTGTGAATGTGGTGATTTGAATGAGAATGTCCCCCATAGGCTCGTATTTGAACACTTGGTCTTCAGTGGGATTGTTTGAGGAGATTTAGTAGGTGTGGTCTTGTTGGAGAAAGTATGTTGTAAGGAGTAAGATTTTTCCTCCCGCCGCTGGTCTTGTCCCGCTGCCGTGCCAGCCCCAAATAACACACCGAGACTCTGTATTTGATATAATGCTGTTGACCAGGTATTAGTTTCTTATTGGCTAGCTCTATCTTAAGTATTAACCCATTTCTATGTATTTCCACGTGGTCTTACCGGAGAGCGGGGCCTGCGGTTCTGTTCTCCCTGTCTCTCCATCTTGACTCCTCCTTCCTACTTCCTTTTTCCTCCTTGTCTCCTAGTCCCACCTATCTTGCTTTCCTATTGGCCAACAGTGCTTTATTCATTAACCAGTATGAGAAACATATTTACAAAATGGCATCTCCCATCATCTCCCATCCTAACTCCTTACAGTCACTGGAGATGGGCTTTGAGAGTTTAGAGAATTTAGTCATTTCCAACTGCTCTCTCTCTTCTTCATATTGCAGTTCAAGGTGTGAGCCCTCAGCATCTACTTTCGGCTACCATGCCTGCCACTTAAAGTCATTATTCCCTGCCATGATGGGTTCTTATACCTCTGGAACCATAAGCCCAAATAAATTTCCATCTATAAATTGCTTTGGTTGAAGTGTCTTATCACAGCAACAAAAAGTAACAAATACAATGTGTGTGTGTGTGTGTGTGTGTGTGTGTGAGAGAGAGAGAGAGAGAGAAAGAGAGAGAGAGAGAGAGAGAGAGAGAGAGAGAGAGAGAGAGAGAGTATGCAAGCATGTGTGCAGGCAAACAAGCGCATGCAGAGAAGCCAAAAGAAGATGTTGAGTGTCCTGCTCTATCACTCTCAGCCCTGCTCCATTCAGACACAGATTCTGTCACAGGACCTCGAGTTAGGCTACCAGCCAGCAAGTCCTATTGACTGTCCTGTTTCCAATGCTTTTTACCTGGGTTCTAGGGGTTTAACTCATATTTGCATGGCAAGTACTCTTACACACTGAACCATCTCTCCTGCCTTGTATTTTGCTTCTTTACTATGATAGTCTATAGCCTAGAATCATGAGTATTATTTGTCCTTCTGCTGCTTTCAGAGTTTTATGATAGCAAAAGGAAAAGAAATTAAGATGCGCTATTAATGATTAAATACCCTATTGTAAGCAAATAACAGAAAACCACTACAAAATGGCCCCCAAATAAGGAAAAATGCATGATGGATGTGAAAAAAAATGATCTTAATCACTTTACTAATATATCTAATATAGCAAAAAGTACTGACACAGAACTTCAGCAACTACAATATTTGTCATGCCTTTGCAACTAAATAAACTTCCTCTGGTGGGAGTAGCTTCAGAGTCAGTCAGGAGGCAGAGAACTTCAGACCACAGAAGCGAGAAATTTTGATGAGCTATTACATGTGACTTGACAAGAGATAACAATCATATACTATCCCAGTCAAAAAGCTAGAATGGATTTTCACCAGAAAGGAACAATAAAACATACTTTTTTCAATTTAAGCATTATACAATGTGTACAGATGTATGAAATTTCATGATAACCAATAAATATGAACTCATATTTTTATATATCTGCTTAAAAATAAACATCTATCATATCATTTGTCATATCAAATATTGCTTAATATATTGCTGAGTTTTCTGTTTTTTAAAATAAAGTAACAGAAACAAAAAAATTAAATGAAAATAAAAAGAATTTATCATGGTTCATTATACTGGAAACTCAAAGAAAAAGTACAGAGTCCCAGCAACTTGCCTCTGATGGAGAATATGGGCTACATGAAGTTTCTGTAGACATTCCCAGCCTTGTCAGCTCAGAAGTCTGTGACCTCATCTACCTGTCTTCTGTTAATAGGAGGCTTTGAGCAGCTTCACTATCCTGGAGAGTCTAATGATATAATCTGGCAGTAGATGGAATTGTATTTTGTCTTTTAGAAAAACTGTTTCCTCTTTCTGAGTCTTTGAAACTGAAGACTAGATTTTCAGTTGGGGAGATACAGAATTTGGGGATATTGACCTCTGTATTCTATACTAGAAAAAAATGTTTACAAATGGAAGGGCTTGTCTCTGGGTGCTTGGAATACTAACTGTTTGAATTTTTTTCTTTACATTTTTCTATATATCCTGGTTATACAACACATATATCTCCATTTACCAAAGGGTTCCATAAAACATTTGCATTCTTCTGATAGTCATATAGAACAACAAGTCTTTGCTCACTTATAACTTCAACCATCAATTACTTATTCATTTCCACTAGGACTTATGTATGGATCTCGAGTTCTTTACTGAGACCTATCTGAGTTCTTCATACCACAAAATCTTCCTATGTTCCTTCTCATTATACCAATACCATTATTTATTGTCTCCATTAATACCAAAATAATCTATACTTTCAAAGAGCTAAGTATATATAAAAGAAGAAGTTGCTGTAGAGTACATGGTACTTACTGAGATTTTCTGGAGGGAAATTTTGAGGGAAGACCATGTATCCAGTCTTCGATCCAGAATAACAGTAAATCGGGTATCAGAGCTACTTTGTCTACAAGAGAATAAAAAAATAATTTTGTTATTTATGAATGTTTATTTGACAATTGATGTTTAACTGAAGACAAGTTTGGATTAGGAAGTACTATCTTAGCCAGAAGTAGTGGTGCACGCCCTTTAATCTCAGCACTCGGGGTGGCAGAGGCAGGCAGATATCTGCGAGTTTCAGGCCAGCCTGGTCTACATAGTGAGTTCCTGGACAGACAGGGCTACACATTGAGACCCTGTCTCAAAATAAACTTAAATAAAAGGTGTTCTTTAAAAATTATTTTAAATTTATATTCCCCTATTTACTATTACTTTCTTTTTCAATATTAACTTCAATCTTTTAAATAGGAAAATGAGGTGCTAGAGAGATGGCTCAGTGGTTAAGAGTACTTGCTCCTCTTGGAGAGAGTTTGATTCCCAGCTCCTACATCAAGTGACTCACAACCACCTGTAACTCCAGGTCCAAGGGATCCATCACCTGTTTCTGGCTTCCGCTTCCACAGGAATACACACAGACATGGCACTTATTCACACAACACACACACATACACACACACACACACACACACACACACACACATACATACATACACACACACACATATAAAATAAAAATGAGAACACATAAATGAAATAAGAAATGGGTATATGACAAAGACGGATTTGGAAAATGGGTTTGGAACCCTAAAATGTTGGTGGTGAGAAAGCTCAACAACCTCTGCCCTTCATAACACCAAGCATAACTACACACAACACTCTATCAATGATCTTTCCATTCACTTGAAAAATATATAGTTAAATATATTGTTTTGCACTGCAGGCTGCTCTTTGGGTTTGAAGGAAGGCAGTTTAATGGATAATGTATCTTTGATTTGCCCTAAAAATACTTTTAAGCTTCAACAGATACAATATAAATTACTCTTCTAGAGCTCAATTTTGTTCATAAGACTCTTCAAATAAATTATGTTCTCTATTCTTTAGGGTTAGTAAATGAAAACTGCTTCCTTCAAAATGGTATCTTAGCTAGGTGTGGTGGCACAGGTCTTTAATCCCAGCACTCTGGAAGCAGAAGTAGGCAGATCTCTGTGAAATGTGAGGCCAATATGCTCTACATAGAGAAGTGCATAGGAAAGTTCAGGTCAGGCCGCCTGGTCTACAAAGTATGGCCATGTCTGGATGGAAGATAGATAGATAGATAGATAGATAGATAGATAGATAGATAGATAGATAGATTATGTTCAACGTAAGCATAATCTCGTGTGTGTATGCGCATGCGTGTGTCTTCTATCCCTCCCCACCTATTCTTTTGAGGTGAGGTCCTTTCCCTAACCATGGGCCTCACATTTTCTTGGCTAAACTGGAAACAAAAAACCCAGAGATTGTGTTGTTCTACCTCCTCATAGCTGGTTTGTGAGACACCTGGCTTTTTATGTGGATTCTGGGATCTGAGAAATGGACCTAATGAATGGACCTAATGTTGAAAAGTATCTCCAGCCCCTCTAAAGAGGCTTTTAAAGTTTTCGCTTTAACACACACAAGTGCCAACTGATTTTTTTTATAAATAAAATTAGCCTGCCCAATATCTCCCAACACCACTGCTGTATGTAATCCTTGGACAAGGGGAAACCAGCTTTCTTCACTCTTGGCTAGTAAAGTATTCTTTTATATATGGCTGTCATACTTTTTGAGGCCAGCACTTCTAGAGCTCTACATCTATTTCCATAGTTCCTCAACATATTTACAGATTTTCTCCTCAGGATATACTTTGTATCCACAATCTATATTTTACAATATATTTTTAAATATATTTAGAACTTAGCCAGGCCAGGAGGGGGGTGGCATGTGCTTTCAATCCCAGGACTGGGAAGGCAGAGGTAGGCAGATCTCTGAGTTCAAGGCCAGCCTGGTATACAGAACAAGTTGCAGAACAGACAGTGCTACGTACAGAAAACCTGTCTTGAAAAACAAAACAAAACAAAACAAAAAAAAAAATTAACAAACAGGAAAAAAAAAGAATTCAAGTAGCTGTCAACCTCCTCTTTTGCTAGTTATATTCTTCTATTTTAGGTAGTTTACTTTCTATTCACAATAACAATAATAAGAACTATATTAATCTGTAATCTTCCTTTTATAACATTTAAGTAGTTATTTGATATAAAACAAAATTTTAGAATGCTGTGAAATATTTTACCTTGCAATAGATGTCAAATAATTGAGCACTTTTCCAATTACATCCTCTGGGATACATTTGAAGTTACAGTTTTCTGGAAATGTAATGATCCACGCATTGTCCCTTCCCCGGCCACCTAAAATAAATCAAATTATCAATTTACTCTGGAGTAAATTATCCAAAACTTTTGAATAACCCAGAGTTTTATGAGAATCATAATTTCCATATAAAACAAAACAGCAATAAGTAAAATCCTGCAATGTGGTTCCTAAAATAAAATCAAAACAAGTAAGAAAAACAAAAAGAAGAAAATGAGTCAGAAGAAAATTTCATGCATATGCAGAACAAATACGGCTGAAGAAACAGATGATCTGCCAAGTTTGACAACCAAGAAGATTAAGAAACCACAGTGTACATTAGGGTTGTGATCCTAAATTCCAAGTGAGAAATTAATAGTGGAAATCTTCATAAAACTGAGTACAGTAAGTCATGGTAAGCAGGAAAGAAAATGACCTAAATGTTATAATTAAAGTTCAAATCAGGGCTGGAGTGATAGTTTAGTTAGCAAAGAGCTGTCCCTACAAGCAAGAAGCATTGCAGTAGATCCTCAAAACCCAAATAAATAAGGTAGCATACTCTTCTTACTAGAACTCTGAAAGTCGAGAGAGGCAGAAATCTACCATGTTATACTGTCTAATATTAAGGAAAGCAGATTTTAGAACCAGGAATATTACTAAGCATAATAAAAAGTTCAGGAGAGCTAAGCATGGTGGCACACACCTTTAATCACAGCACTCTAGAGGCAGAGGTAGGTGGATCTCTGTGAATTCTAGTCCAGCCTAGTCTACAGAGTTACAGGACAGCCAGAGCTATAAAATGAGACAGTGCCTCAAAAAAAAAAAAAAAAAAAAAAAAAAAAAAAAAAAAAAAAAAAAGAAGAAGGAAGGAAAGACCTTGATGTTGGTGGCACACACCATTAATCCCACATTTGGAAGGCAGAAGAAGGCAGATCTCTGTGAGTTGGAGGCCAGCCTGGTCTACAGAGCAAGTTCTAGGACAGACTCCAAAGCTAGAAGGAAACCATGTCTTGAAAAATCAAAACAAAAAGTAAAATAAGTATTTATTTAAGTTCATTAGATAATATTTAAGTTGCCAGTGTACCATAGGGACACAACCCTGAATACTTATGCACCTAATAATAGATCTACAAGCGGTATAAAGTAAAATGGATGGAACTTTCACCATGCAGCCCTCAACATCTGACAGAACATAATCTCCATCTCCCTTTCCCTCCCCCTCCCCCTCTCCTTCTTCCTTTTTCTCTCCCTCTGTGTTTTTTGTCAACTTGACACAAACAAGAGGTGCCTGGAAAGAGGGTCTCTCAAATGAGAAACTGGCTCCATCAGATTGGCCTATGGGCATGTCTATGTGGCATTTTCTGATTAACAATTGATGTGAGAGGTTCCAGCCCAATTTGACCAGTGCCATCCCAGCCAGATGGTCCAGGTTGTTAAAGAAAGCAATGTGAACAAGCCTTGAAATCAAGCTAGTAGTCGGTCAGTTTCCCCATGGTTACTCCTCTGACTGCCCTAACTTCTCTAAATGTTGAACTTGAGATTCAGTCTTGTGAGCCAAATAAACATCCCATATCAGTCGTGGTTCTCTACAGGAACAGAACAGAACCAAGAATAGCCATCACATCCTCTCCAGTTGCTTTTAGTCATGGTGTTCATCACAGTAATAGAAAGCAAACTAGGACATCCCCTTTCATCCCTCACCTAACCTCTCTTCCTTTCTCTTCTCCCAAACAAACTGGGGGGGGGGCATTCATACTATTTAAGCAAATATCATCTATCAATGAAAATGATACATGGTTCCTCTAAGGGTCAATTATCACTGCCTACTAAATTTTAATCTATTAAACGTATTACCATTGAGCACCTAGATGTACTATACTCGATAGCACATCTCTAATCTAAAAAAAACACAAAAGCAAGGCTTTTAAGAAGCTCTGCTAACAACTTAATGGTGTGTATGAAAGCTGGCAATGACCGTATCTCCAAGCCTGCAACATGCTGCTGGATGCAGCAAAGACCAAGGTGGTGATACAATCTAGCCAGAAACTACTAAATCCAGTGTGTGTGTGTGTGTGTGTGTGTGTGTGTGTGTGTGTGTGTGTGTGTACGCGCACCAGTGTGCCAGGGCACTTCAGGATTGCACACAGTACCAGAGTTAATCTGTATCCCCTTGTTTTATAGCTTGGGGCCTCATTTACATTACTCTTACCTTTTCTCTTTTCCAGTACTAGGTCAGGACTGAACCCAATCTCAGATCCAGCATTACTCTATCCCTTAGATTTAGGTTTGGGCACCATTGTGAAGAAAAAGGATTAGGGCCTAGAAAGATGGCTCAGCAGTTAAGAGCACTGGCAGCTCTTCCAGAGGATCCTGGGCTGCTTCTCACAACCCACGTGGCTATAAGTCCATTTCTAGGAGCTCTAATGTCCTCTTCAACAGGTACTTCATGTATGTGGTACACAGACATCAATGTAGAAAAAAAAAACACCCAAACACACAAAAATAGTTAAGTATAAAAAGATAAATGGCTAGGTGTGGTGGCATGAACCTTTAATTCCAGAAATTGGAAGGCAGAGGCAGATGGTGTTCTATGACCTTGAGGCCAACCTTGTTTACAGAGTAAGTTCCAGGCCAGCCAACACTACTTGAGACTCGACTCTAGGTAGATACACAGGTAGGTAGGTAGGTAGGTAGGTAGGTAGGTAGGTAGGTAGATCCAGTCCAAATCCTTCTAAGACAAAATACTTTCCCCCATCCCCCATCATGGTGTTTAAAGACTTAGTCTAAAAGTCAAATGTACAAGAGTGCTAAAGTTGGTCTTAATGACATATTCAAAATTAATGACATATTCAAAACTGTTTTAAAGTCCTTAATTATTCTGATGTCCACTTGTTTAGTAACTAGATGCCCAACATATAAATGATTACTACAACACTTTTCAATCTAATATATGTATGTTGTATATGTGTATATATGGATAACAAGTTATTTATGTAAGTTGCAAATGAACTCATTGACCAGTTCATACATTTACCTGCCCTTAAATAAATGATAAAGTTTGCTTACCAGACAGGAAAGCAATGTCTTGCATTAAGAAATGATTGATGTCCTTTAATTGGAGGAGGAGCCCAGTTTCTATGACAAACAAGAGAAGAAACAATGCCGATATTAAAAGTGTAGCTAGAAGCATACAGAAATTCTCACTGTGCCCAGAAGAGCTCTGGGCCCTTCGAGATGTGTGCGTACAGACATGCCAGCTTCATCTTCCCTGCTTCAGCTATAGGTAAACACAGCCGTGCTCTTTATGCCATCACAGGGCGTATGAAACCAGTGACCCACTTTTCAGAATCTATGTCTGGAACAAAAGCTACCCTCACTCATCAGAAAACTAAGAACAGGTACAAACAGCCCCAGCTTCTTTGAAGAGTAGTCATGTACACATACTGTCTGTCTTCCACTTCCCAGAGTGGCTTTCTTTCAAAGAACTTTATCAGCAATGACAAAGCACCTTTAGGGTTTTTATAAAATTGTTTGGAATCTTTAAAATATCCCAAGGCAGGTATTATTCACCTTATTTTAGGAAGATTAATGGTACAGGGGTTCACAACATGTGTTTCTGAATGAGAAAGACTTTTTGATTCAAATCGCTCTTACAGCACTCAGTAGCTGTACGAACTTGAACAAGCCAGTTGCATGAACTCATTGAGACTAAGTTTCCTCAACTGTAAGCTGGGTATCCTAACAAGATGCTGTGAACTATAATGTGAAACAGCTTACAAAACAGTAGACACCTAATTAACAGTGACATTTTTAAGTTACTGTCCCTGTATTGTTTCAGACAATCACTTTAGTTGCCCTAGATCTCAAATGCTAGCTCACAATGTTCAAATCTACCAAACATTACAGGGATCAAAACTAAAAGTCCATTATCTACCTCTAGTCTACGAACAAGGATAACTTTTTTTGAAAGAAAATAGGTCATTGAAATAGGGTATTTTGGACTGCTGATTTAATGCCTGTGGTTTCACATCTCTTATTGAAGCCACATTTTTCATTTGCTTTCTGATATAAAGGACCTTCAAAGTCATCATATCTAGTGGTGTCAGGCTGATGACACACCCTTCTTGGTGCTCCTGAAATCATCACATATAGATATGCTTTATCCAGAACAAAACTCAAAAGAATTCACAAAGCTGTAGAATACCATATCTTATAGCACGACCTACCCAACTGGAAACATAGTACAATTAACTGGCACATTTATTTTCATAAAACACAAGTCATTAAATACATAAGATTGAGAGCCACAAAATGGCCTGGCAATCTGAGTTTGGTCCCTGGGACCCAGATTGTACAAGGAAAGGCTGAATTTTTCTTTAAGGTGAAAATTGTCTTCTGACCTCCACATATCCGCTGTGCACAAAGTAAATATATATACATGTACTAACCTTTTTTTAACATTGGTCAGGACATAAAAATTAGTTCTCAAAATTGTCTTGCAATTAGTGTATGTGTGTGTGTGTGTGTGTGTGTGTGTGTGTGTGTAGATTTTTATATATTTAAACTCCTGGTATATCCCAAACCAAATCACATACATTACCATATAAAATACTTCTTTCAACACCATACTGCCTCTAATAAAGTACTGTTTATAACAGTCAAAAATGTGTTACATATTGACGGTTTTAAACATGGAGATATGGTAGAAGGATCACAGAATGAAAGACAAGATTTTCCTCTGTCTTCACATGCTTCCAAAAGTAGTAATGGCCCAGAGCTTGAATAAAAGAGCATTAGAAGCAGGTGTGGTGGCACATGTCTAGAATTCCAGCACTGGGATGTAGAGGCAGGTGAGTTCTTGAGTTCAAAACCAACCTAGTCTACATAGTGAGTTCTAGGCCTATGTAGTTCTAGTGAGTTCTGCATAGAGAGAGCCTCTCTCAAAACAAATACCATTAGAACATAGAAGCATCCCTATAAAAGAAATCCAGATTTCACTCCTGATTTGAATAGCAAAAATAGCTATTAAAATAAATTGATGGATTTTATGTCAGATGGCAAACTGGAAATAATACATATGCAGCCTGATTAATCCTGTGCCATTCAGAATCTTGAAGAACTATAAAAATTGTTACTCCACAATTTAGACATCGACATAAAATAAGCAGCCTTGGGAATAAAACAAAATGCTATGGGCTAACAATAGGAAGACCAGGATTTCATTTTATGTCTACCACTGAGTTTCTCTGTAACCCTGAAAAAGTAATCCATGTGTCCTTCCCTCCATTCCCTCCATTTTAGGGCCATATAGCACATACTTTCTAATGGACCTACATTCTTGGAAAGCCAACAATGTGGAAAATCACATACATAAGTAAAATGCATTCATATTTTTGAGAACTAAAATGTCATCCCATTAAAATAGCATTTTCAAGCTAGGCAGTGATGGCACATTCCTTTAATCCCAGCACTCGGGAGGCAGAGGCAGGCAGACCTCCGTGAGTTCAAGACCAGCCTGGTGTATAGAGAGAGTTCCAGTGCAGACTCCAAAGCTACACAGAGAAATCCTGTCTTGAAAAACCAAAAAATAAAAATAAAAATAATATATGTATACATATATATGTATATATATATATATATATATATATATTATAAGCTAATGAAAAGGGATAGGTTAAGGGAAAAGGGATAGGTTAAAAAATAGTCTATATTAACAATTTACTAAAGTCAGAGGAATTAACGATGGAAAGGCAAGAAGGATGTGGAGAACACTAGATTCTCAGATTCAGAAAAAGTCATGATGCTGAGTTGCACCCTGTTTTGACTCTGAGGTTCTTGCACTCCACGAAGATTCCTTAAAACTTTTTATTTCAAAGCATAAGAAATAAAAGGATTGGAGATGTAGTTCGGTTGGTAACATGCTTACCTATAACATGGATAAATAAGAATGTGGGAAAACGATAGGCTGATGGGTGTTTATTTGGGGAGAGATTACTTACACCAGAGACAGATGACCACCTGCAGGTTCCCATCCCAAGGATGCCTCTGGATGCTCTCTGTCTCTGACCAGGAAGCTAGAGAGCGAGCTGGGGTCCAGGACCCCAGACCTAACCCCCTTCCCCAGTCATGCCTGCACCTATCCCCACGCCCCAATGGGCATGGTCAATGCAACAGGTGAGGGGGGGATGGATATGTCACTAAACTTACCTAGTATGCATGAAGCCCTGAGATCCATTCTCAGCAATGCAGCATCTTGGCACACATTTATAATCCTATCCAGCATTCACACAGGAGGAGGAGGCAAGAGTACCAAAAAACTGAGGTCATACTTGACTACATCAAGTTTGAGGCCACCCTTGCCTGCATGAGACCATTTCAAAAACAAGGGCCGGAGAGATGGCTGGGGGGTTAAAGGCTAGACTCACAATTAAAAAAAAAAAAAAAAAAAACACTGAACCAAACTCACATTACAGCAACTTACATGCTTTCACAGGAAGCTGGTCAAGCTGCTCCATTACAGACAAATAAAACGCATGCATTCTTCTCACTTGAAATATACAGCAAACCTCAAAAGAGCTGGCTGGGAGCTGGAGAGATGGCTCAGTGGTTAGGAGCGTATACTGCTCTGACAGATGACTCAAGTTTGGTTCCCAGCTCCCAACTGTCTGCAACTCCAGCTCCAAGGGATCCAAGGCCTCTGAATCCTTTTGGGGACTGAACTCATTATATGTACATACCCACAGAGATACACATATACACATAATCAAAAGTAGCAAATCTTCTCTAAAAAAAAAAAAAACTTTTTTGTGTATAAACAATCAGGTACAAAGATGAGCAAATCTCTTGTACTTCACTCACATAGGATAAACTTCAGGCTTAGTCTCTCTTTTTGTTAATGTGCATGAGATTTTGTCTGCTTGTTTGTATGTGGACCATGTGCACATAGTACCTGCATATGCCAGAAGAGGGCGATAGATTCCTATAACTGGAGTTCTAGATGGTTATAATCCACCATGTGTATAGGAACTGAACACAGTCCTCTGCAAGAGCAGCATGGGTTTTGACACCTGGGTCATCTCTCCAGCCCCTACTATCTAATTATAAAGTTGTACACAACCACTAATTAGTTAATCGAAAATAAGGAAATAAGATTCAAATTCAAAGATCTTTTTGAAGTGCTACAAGTTACCTCATGTAGCCCAGGCTGGCCTTCAATATAATGTTAGAAGCTTCCTTCCTTCCTTTCTTCCTTCCATTCTTTCATCTTTGTTGTTGTTGTTGTTTGAGAGAGGTTTTCTCTGTGGAGTCCTGGCTATACTGGAACTCAGTTTGTAGACCAGGCTGGCCTCCACTGGAGAGACCTGCCTACCTCTGCCTCCCAAGAGGTGGGATGACAGGTGTGCGACATCATGCCTGATTATTATTGGTCAAATACCACTCTAGGTCATTTTAGATAGATGGTTTAGGAAAAATTAAAGAATCAAATAAATTTATGAAATGTTGAAGATTAAACATATTGCTATATTTCCTAACAAATACACCTAAAGTTTTCACTAGCTATCTGATCAAGAATTCCTCTGGTTGTTTGGTTGAATGGTTGGGTTTTCCTCTCAGGGCAAAAAGGCCAACAGAAAAAGTACTGTGCAGAGGTACTTAGTTCAAAATGTCAAGACAACCTACAGGGAAAAAGGTTGCCTTGCAAGGTACAGAAGACCATTACCACAGTCCTGTTATTTGCAGTTTTCAAAGAGCAAGCATCTCTGTGGACAGTTGCTACAGAGGAGACTCAAAGCTCTTTGAGCTCTTATTTCTGAATGTGTGACTAAATGATAGGAGTATAGATTACCATTCCAGACATTTCAGTTCTAGTGAGCTGAGTAATGGTTCCTAGAGAGAAAATTATCATTTAAATAAGTAAGTAATTGATATGTGCAAGCTTTCTCATTTTATAGAAAGCATTTGTATTTCAGATCCCAAAATATAATAGCAATAATTTCCAGCCATAGGGTTTTTCTTTTACAGTGACACTCTTTTGTTACCATTTGTGCTCTGTCTGGAGTTCCTGTTCATGTATGATAGACAAAATCTAGTTCTGAACCCACTGCATATACATGCCATCAAGTCCACACTACAGGGTCAGGGCAAAGAAACTTTTTTAAAGAGCAAATACTTCCATACTCATGCTTTCTTAAAAATAAACAGGAAGCAAATGCAAAGCACATGGGAAAACAAAAAAGAAAACAATGTCAAGCAGGAAGACCACAGCAACCAACTCAACTGTCACCAAGAGGACAGAACAAAGAAATAAATGGAGTGAATGGTTCATGGTTAATGAGCTATCATGATGAAGCTCTTGCTATTTGTCAAGCACTGCACAAGACATTTAAGTGCTATTTTCTGGTCTTCAAAACAAACCTCCAAAGTTGATATTAAAAGCCTCATCTTTCAAATATTTTTATTAATTTATTTCTTTTATATGTAAGGATATTTTTCTGCATAACTCTATATACTTCAAGTGTGTTCAGTGCACATGAAGTACAAAAGAAGGAATCACATCACTTGGGACTAGAATTACAGATGTTTTGAGGTGTCACATAAAGGCTGGGAATTGAACCCATGGCCTCTGGAAGAGCAGCCAGTGCTCTTAACTACTGAGCCATCTCTCCAGCCCCTAAAGCCCCATTTTAAAATAAAGAAATGGGTTCAAGGAAACTAACAGGCATGCACATATTCACTCAAGAATCTGCTATGAAATAACCACCAGATGTCAGTCACTGTCTCAAGCTGGAGCAGAATCTAGCATGGATTCAGATAAGGTTTCAGACATTATTGGCCTGCTACCCTTCAGATAAGTGATGTGACACTTGTACTCTGAAAAACACACTCAAATAGCTCTCTCCCAATTATTAACTAGATACAACTTGATAGTGTCCGTTTTTTCCCGAACCACGGCAAAAATGTTTACAATCTGTTGAAATAAAGTCCATTATGTTCACAGTCTTAATTTCTTTTTTTAAACATTTATTTTACACATATTTGTGTGCCTCAGTGTATGTATATGCACCACATGCATGCAGGAGCCTGCAGAGGCCAGAAGTGGTGTCACAGTCCCTGACCCTGGAGTTAAAAATGCTTGTGAGCCCTCGGATATGGGTGCTGAGAACCATTGGCAGGTCCTCTGCAAGAGCAGCCAGGGAGGGCTCTTAACACCTGAGCCATCTGTCTAGACCTTACAGTTTGAACCTAACTGCAATGCTTTGCAGCAATAACCTTTTTGAAAGTCTCCTATGGCTGATATGTAGGACAGACAAAATTATGTTTCTGGTGAGTTCCACGTCCTGCTACAAGATGGATGGGATTCTATGTGTGTAATTTTTCCATTTCAGTCTGAACAACAGATATGCCATACCATCTCTAAACCTAAATGACTTGGCACATGCAAATGATTGATGTGTTTCCATGAAAATGGTATAATTAAAAAGTTGGAAAAATAAAATAATTCTGAAACCATCAGAAAAACAAACTCCTATTAGACTACAGTAGAATAATATAGTATACTGTTCTAAAATAAAGGTACAGTATAAAGGGCTGGAGAGATAGCTCAGTGGTTAAGAGCACTGGCTGCTCTTCCAGAGGACCTGGGTTCAATTCCCAGCAACCCCATGATGGTTCACAACCATCTATAGTGGGATCTGATGCTCTCTTCTGGCATAAATGAGTACATGCAGATAGAGCTCTCAAATACATTATACATAAAAAAATCTTTTTTAAAAAATGGTACAGTACAAAAACCTCACATAAGTCTCTAACAAGAGTCATTCTAAATCCTTTTTGCTGATATTTATTGGAAACTCCAATCCATGGCAATTCAGAAAACTTCTAGTGAATTCCTATTTGGGTTCTCTCTGCATACAAACATACAGCTTCATATTTTATAATTTAAAAAATACAGTAACAGAAAAGATGTATGTTCCTACAATCACAACAAATGGAAGGCTAAGGTCAGGGGATTCCAAGTTCCAGGACATCCATAGCTACACAGAGAGATCTGGCCTTTAAAAATAAAATGGGCCATGCATTGTGGCACACACCTTTAGTTCCAGCACGTAAGAGACGATGGCAGACCTATGTCTATATGAATTAAGGGCTAGCCCAAGTTCCAAGCCAGGACTACACAATGAAACACTTACAAAGAAAGAAAGAAAGAGAGAGAGAGAGAGAGAGAGAGAGAGAGAGAGAGAGAGAGAGAGAGGGAGGGAGGGAGGGAGGGAGGGAGGGAGGGAGGGAGGGAGAGAGGGAGGGAGGGAGAGAGGGAGGGAGATTATGTTTAACGAAAGAGGCAAGACTTACCAAAAGCCATATACCCTAAGTTCACATTGATAAGAAATCTTTAGGAGCTTCAGGTCCAGAGCAGCTGGATGTCTACCTCATATGCCATCATAGAGCCTTCATCCAGTAGCTGATAGAAGCAGAAGCAGACACCCACATCTAAACACTAAGCCGAACCCCTGGAATCCAGTTATAGAGAGGGAGGAGTCATAAGCAAAGGGGTCAAGACTATGCTGGAGAAACCCACAGAGACAGCTGACTTGAACAAGGGGAAGCTCATGGACCCCAGACTGATACCTAGAAAACCAGCATAGGATCAAACCAGGCCCCCTGAACGTGGGTCTCAGTTAGAAGGCCTGGGCAGTCTAAGGGACATCTGTCAGTGGAACCAGGATGTATCTATCCCTGGTGCACAAAAGGACTTTGGGAGCCCTTAGCCTAGAGACACAAGGGAGGGCCTAGGCCCTACCACAAATGACTTGACAGATTTTGATGATCCCTTCTGGAAGGCCTCACCCTCCCTGGGGAGCAGAAAGGGGATGGGATCAGGGTTGGGAGAAGGCAGGGGAGCAGGGGAGGGTGAGGGAACTGGGATTGACACATAAAACAAGCTTGTTGCAAATTTAAATAAAAGTATTCTAAAAAAAAAAAAAAAACAGAAATGGAGGAAAGACAGACAAAAAAAAAAAATTGGAAGATATCAACAAACCCCTTAAAGAAAACCAAGAAAAAGCAACCAAACAAGTGAAGACAATGATTCAAGACATGGCATCTAAAATAGAGGCAATAAAGAAAACACAAACTGAGGGAAGTTTGGAAATGGAAAATCTGTGTAAACAATCAGGAACTACAAATGCAAACATAAACTACAGAATACAAGAGATGGAAGAGAGAATTTCAGGCATTGAAGATAACTTGGAGGAAATAGACACACTGATTAAAAAATTTTAAATCCAACAAATGCTTAACACAAGTCATTCAGGAACTCTAGGATACCATGAAAAGACCAAACTTAAGAATAACATGGATAGAAGAACAGGAAGTAGCAATCACTAGTCATTAAAATCCATTAATATAAATAGTCTCAATTCACCTATAAAAAGGCACAGGCTAACAAACTGAACATGAAAACAGAACCCATCCTGCTGCTGCATACAAGACACACACCTCAAACCCACAGACAGACATTACCTCAGAGTAAAGGGTTGGG